GACTGAGCCCTGATCCTGGTCACACGCTGAGCCCTGACCCTGGTCACACTGAGCCCTGATCCTGGTCACACTCTGAGCCCTGATCCTGGTCACACACTGAACCCTGACCCTGGTCACACCCTGAGCCCTGACCCTGGTCACACACTGAGCCCTGATCTTTGTCACACTCTGAGCCCTGACCCTGGTCACAGACTGAGCCCCGATCCTGGTCAAACTCTGAGCCCTGCCCCTGGTCACACTCTGAGCCCTGATCCTGGTCAAACTCTGAGCCCTGAACCCGGTCACAGTCTGAGCCCTGACACCTGGTCACACTCTGAGCCCTGATCCTGGTCAAACTCTGAGCCCTGCCCTCAAGGCTCCTAGTAGAACTGAGGGGTGGTTGGAGACCTCTCAACATGGAGGCATCCTAGACAGAGCCCACCCAGACTCTGACTGAGCCACATTCCTCCCCTACCTAAGTGGACAGGTGCAACTTTGCAGTAAGGTTCAGCCTGGCTACCCAGAGATCAGGCAGAAACTGTAGGAGGAGCGAATGCCCAGGGGTCAGGGGTGTGTTCCAGATAGAAAGCACGGGTGGGGCCCTTAGGTCTGAGAACAAGGAGTTGGGCTGGTATGGGCTACAGCAATGGAATTGGGCTAGACCGAGGGAGGAAGTTAGGGTGTGTGCAGTGGGTGTCTAATCCAGTTAGCTGCATCCAGCATCAGCGCCCAGTTGTAGCGTGGTGGCGCAGTGAAGTGTAAAATCAGACAAGCCCGGTTGCTGCTTGCTTTTCCTCAGCCCACGCGAGGTGACCCGCCCAAGTCAGCAGCTGCCAGGAGCATCTGATCCTAGATCCAAAGTAGAGTTGTTAGTGTTGTGTGCGTCCAGAGCTGTAGAGAGGAAAACAGACCCAGCAGAGGACGTGGCTGACACAGGCTGGATGCTACAGGAAACCACGAGCCTCACCCTCAGGCCCCACCCAGTGCCCAGGGAGGCTCAAGCCCCTTCAGTTCCCACATGGAGCTGATCTCAAAGGAAAGCCAAGGACCATAAAAAGGCTGTGGGATGGGGGTGGGGGGAGAGTCCCCAGACAGAGAATTTCAACCATAGGAGGGCAGGGGAGGGATGGGCATCCCTGGTGACAGGAAGAGCAGATGCAAAGTCTAGGTTGGGAGTAAGATTTGGACCCTCTGAGAGAAGGTGGAGGAGTTGGGTGGGGTTGCAGTGTGGCCCCAAGTGAGTCTGGGCTCCAAGGCCTTGACTGCCCAGCTAGAGGCCCTGGGACCTGTCAACAACCCTCCTCACCCCACCCCAGGGTTCACCCTGGCAGCTGTGGGCTTGGTGGAGGGTGTGACCTGGTTACAAGTGGAGGACATCCTGGGGAGGCTGAAGTGCAGGCACTCTGGGGGAGGGGGGGTGCCTGTGTGCATGTGTGTGTTGGGGGTGGGACCAGTGGCTGGAGCCACACTTCTGTCCTGTCTGGGCCTTGTGCAAGGACCTTCCTGTCAATTTCCTGACGTACAGTGGGGCCAGGAGAGCCCTGCCCGAGGGGCATCCCCTTTGGCTTCCTTAGAGACCAAGGTGGACCTGCTCCTTCAGTGGACCCCGGGTTTAGTGTCCCCAAGGCGACCCTGGCCCCTCCCCATCTCCAGCCTCCATTTGAGGACCTTTCTGTTGACCCAGTACTTTTCCTGTCTTTGTACCCATAACCCTCTGGGTACACTTTGGCTGTTTGTCCAGGCAGCAATCTGTCCCTATATCACTATGCCCCACGAGACTACCTCAGAGGAGCTGGGGGTGGGTTGTCGGGCACCCTGCTAGCATTCAAACCCAGAACTACTAGACCCGGACTCTGCCCTGGAGTGGGAAGGGTGCCCGGCAGAGGCAGAAACCAGGGTGGGGGTAGGGGTGGAGGAGGAAGGAGAAGGTGGGGAGCCCAGGTAAGGGAGTCACAGAGGGAGGTGAGGGCCCCCAAACCATAGAGAGGGGCCATCAGGGCCGGGGAGGGACCCCAGGCTGTGGGAGGTAGAGGAAGGGGACAGGGAGGTCAGGAGGAGTACCCACAGAGGAATGGGGCGTCCAGTGGAGGCAGGAGGGGCCCCAGTGGGCGGAGGGGGGCGGGTCTCTGCACCTCTGCCGCCCACAGGAAACCCAGTCCCACAGCTCAGCTTGGCTGACCAACCGGCTGGGCGGCTGCACTGGGTGTCCACTGTCCCTGCGGGCAGGCCGGAGGCGAGCGTGCTAAGAAGCGGTGGGAGGACTGGACCATGAGGCGGACATGGCTGGTGGTACTGGGGCTGGTGCTGGCGACCTGCAGCCACGAGCTCGGTGAGGGGCGCAGGCAGGGGCGCCAGGGAGTGGAGGAAGGCGGGGAGACTGAGCAGAGGCAGGGCGGGGAGCGAGGGTGAGCCGGGAGGGAAGGGAGAGGAGGGCATGGTATCAGGGGGCCGCCCGCCAGGGCTGGGGCGGCAGCAGAACTGCATGTCCCTGGGGGCCGTGGGCACCCCGGAAAGGCTTTAGCTGGAGGACCATGCTCCCTGGTTCCGGGGCCATGGTGGAGGCAGGCCTCAGGGGGTGTCTTGGGGAGACCAGGAGGTGCTGGGAACTGGGGCTGACAGGGGGTCTGGGAGAACAACTGGGAGAGACACCCCAGCCCCTCGGGGCCCCCACACCCAACCAGAAAAGGAGCTGGGTAGAGGGGGCCCCAGCCAGAGGGGAAACTGAGGTCCACCCGAGACGCAGTGACACACAGTGGGGGTAGAGGGGTCTGTGGCCTCACTGTGCACGGACCAGCTGGAGCCAGTCAGGCCCACCTAGGCCCCCTTGGTGGGGTGGGACATTGAGCGGCGCACCCTGGGGCCCCCGCCCCTGCTGGCCCGCACCCCAAGCTGCCCGGGGCCTCTGGGCTGTGGCTCTTCCCTCCTTTGTTAAGCTGGCTCCTGTGGGTGCCCCAGGCCCAGCCCGGTCCACCCTGCACCCCACACACCTCCTTGTCTGTTCCTGATGCCCACTGCCGCTCTTCGGGTGCTGCTCTTTGCTGATCAGGACCCCAAGGGGGTGTCCAGCCACACCGAGGCCCTCCCTGACCCTGCAGCAGGGAGCGCCTCCTCGATGCTTCCAGAGCTGTCCCCTCCGCACCCTGGCCCTGCAGGCTGAGCCCGTCAGGGGCACACTCTGTCTCTAAGGACCACAGCTCAAGCCTCCTGAGTCCTCCCAGAGTTTGGGTCGCTGGGCAACTGGAGCCTGAATGGCATGGTCCCCCTCAAACCTGGGCCTCCAGGACAGCGGGCTTGGGGAGGGGCAGGGCCTGCCTGATGCGTCCTTTGTCCCTTCTTATCCAGTGGTGGCCCTGCAATGCTACACCTGTCACGAGCCTACTGCTGTGTCCAGCTGTGTTACCATCGCCACCTGCAATGCCAATGAGACCATGTGCAACACCATCCTCTACTCCCTGGAGACAGGTCAGCGGGGGCTGGGTGGGCGGGGCGACCACCCTCTACCCCCTGGAGACAGGGCGGCAGGGCCAGGGTCCCAGGGTCAGAGCTGCCTCCAGGACCGTCACCCCTGGCCAGCTATGCACAGTGCGCATCCACCGCCTTAGCCTTTTGCAAAAGGGTTGTTGGTCCAGGCAATTAGGTCTTCCTCCCTCCTCCCTTCTTTCCTTTAATGGAAAGGAATCCTCACCTTGCCTGGGGATTACCTGGAAAGGAATTGCCTCATCCAGCCAGAAATCCTGCGCAAGTCGCTGTGTCCCCAGCACAGAGGCGGCACTCAGCCCACAGTGGCGGAAGGAAAGGGGGAGGGGCCGGGTCACGGAGGGACCGACCCCACCCTGGGGTCATGGGGCTGGGTGTGGGGTCCCTGAAGCTCGCGAGCTGACCAGGCATCCAACGTGGCCCACAGTGTATCCCTTCCTGGGGGACTCCACGGTGACCAAGGCCTGCGCGGTCCATTGTGTGCCCTCGGACATGGACGGCATCGGCCAGACCCGGCCTGTGTCCTGCTGCAACACGGACCTCTGCAACATAGACGGGGCCCCCGGCCTGGACGGCAGCCGCAGCCTGGCCTTGGTGCCGGCGCTCCTCCTGCTCTGGAGCCTCAGCCTCTAGAGCCCCCACCCCCCCGTCCCCGCCCCCTCCACCTGTGCAAGCCAGCCCTGAGCGCCCCTGAAGAAGCATTGTCCCTGCACCAGGCCTCCTGAATCTCCTTTCGGGCGGCCCTGCCCACCAGCGCGGGAGGGCCTTGAGCCTCGAGTCTGGTTCTGTCCCTTCGTCCTGTGTCCCCTCCCCGCCCCTTCTCAGCCCCTCCTCTCCTGGTCCATCTCTGCCCCTCCTGGCCTCTGGCTTCTTTCTGGGGCTCTCCTCACCCGCATGGCTGCCCCTCTCTGTCTCCTGTCCATGTCCCGAGACATGCTGAGCAGGGATGGTCACTAGGCCAGCAAACCAGGCAGGGCTCTGCTCTCTGGGCCCTGCAGGGGGCCTGACTGCAGTGGGGCAGAAAGTGGGACCCCACAGGCGGGGGGGCAGCACCGCTCCTGCCAGGGCCGGGTCACAGGTGGCTTCTCGGAGGAGGGGGCCGTTAAGGCCGGGCTTTGAGTGACTGAGAGATTGTTTGGGTGGAGGAGAGCAGGCCAAGCCAGGGGGAAGGAAGATCCAGGCGGGCTACGAGTGGCCTGGGATCCGGGATCGATCCATGCAGCACCTACTGCCTGCTCACCCGGCCCCTGGACACGGTCCCCTTATGCTGGGCGGCAGGGGATGCTGCTGGGCACATCCACCACCTGCCTTCTCCCGGCTCACCAAACCCCACTCCCTGGGTGCCCGGGGCAGCCCAAGCTCCAATGCAGAGGGGACCTTCACTCCACCTTGGCCTTGGCCAGCACCAAATCCTCCAGATCATCCTCCCGGGAGTCACCTGCCCCACAGGCCTCTTGTCCCCAGAGGGCTCCCAGGCCTGCATCTGGGTTGAGACTTGATGCTCACACATACACACGCATACACATGTATGTGCACACACACGTGGTCCTGGAAACACATAGCAAGGGCCCAGTACTTGAGGAAGGACAGGCCCCAGCTCTCCCACCCAGTGTTGGCCCTTCCCCAGGACCACCTGGGGGAGGTGAGACGGGGAAGGGAGGAGAGGGCCCTCAGTCACCCTGGGACCTGCCCCTCCTCTCTGTCCTCCTGCTCCAGCAGCTTCTCCTGGGCCCCTGGGTGAGCCTGGTCCTGGGAGGCGGGGCACAGCAGTGGCATCCAGCCAAGCTGAGCTGGGGCTGGGAAGCCCTTCTTCCTGCTCATCAGGGTTCTCCCCACTGGCCTCTAACTCTGAGTCCAAAGAGCTCTCACAACCAGCCCTCACCCCTCTCTGGGGTTCCCTGTTCTAGGATGGCAGGGGGCAGCCAGGACCTGAAGCAGGACTGTCCTGGGGCAAGGGACACCCCAAGCCTCTGGGAGAGGAGACCAGTGGCCAGAAGGCCCCCTATCCCTGGGACCCCAGGAACCCCACACCTCTGCCTCCTGTGGCAAGACCTACAGTCTCAGGGGCTCTGGTCCTGACCCAGACCCTGGAGGACAGAACCCCCACTGCCCAGCGAGCCCCCACCCCATGTGTCCAGCACAGGCTGACCGCACAGCATGGCCGCCGTCTGCCAGGGACCTCTTTGGCAGACTCTGGGAAGGGCAGGGAACTCGGGAGGCCAGGCGCGGTCAAGTGCTGTCAAGACGCCTCCGTTTGGGGTTGTAGCTCTGAGCTCTGACTTTGCCACGGAGCAGGCCCCGTCCAGTAATTCCTCACACCTCTCCCCTGGCATTTCTTGGGTCTACCACAAAAGTGAGGAGAGTGGTGGGGTCACTTGAGTCTTAGAGCCTGGTCTGGGACCCAGTACACACACGTGCATGCGCACGCACACGCACACGCACACACAGCCTTCCGGGGAAACATGGGAAAGCTCTGTGCCCCCCTCCTGGCCACTGCTCCCACCTGACCTTCCCGCCCCTCTGAAGCCAGAGCAAGGGCCCTTCCAGGCAGCTCCCGACAGCACACGGGGTCTCTCCCCCTCCTGCCCATGCCAGCCATGTTCTTGGCACACTCGCCCCACGGCTGCTCCAGGTCCCCTCCACCCCCTTGTCTTTACAGCTGCCCTCTGAGGCACAGGATGCTCTGCCTGGTTTACAGGTGAAAGAAAGGGGATCAGAGGGATTCGTGAGCAGACTGGTCACACAGGAGGTCAGGCGGGGCTGGGACCCACTTAATCTGTCAGACTCCACACTAGACACTCCCTGGCTCCTCTTGCAACATCCTGGGCGCAATCGTGGACCAGGCCCCAGGGAAGGGCCGCCCTGGGGAAGGGCACCCTGGCTGCTGTCCGCGCCTGCACCTGCCATGTGAGGCCCAATTATTGGAGCTGCAGCAACCGCCATCTATTCTTTTGCAAGCAACGCCCTTCCTTTGTTTCCTCAGTCCACAAGGTCAGGTCGTGTCTGCCCTCGAAACTGCCCTGGGTCCCTAGTTTCATCCTACAAACAGGAATGCGGTCTAGAGGGGCAAGGGAGTCACTCCAAGGCTACACGTGGAGCCAGCAGCAAAGCTAAGACCAAAACCCAGGCCTCCTGAGTGCTAGACCAAGCTCCTCCCAGCATGTCATCCTGCCTGGAGATTGGGGTATGACTCCATACCCTTCTGCAGCACCCTCACATTCTTTCATCTGCCACCTACCCATCCAATTACTCTTCCATCCATCATCTACCTTCTTCCCCCATCTTTCCTCCCTCCATTCATGTACTCTCCAGCCATTCACTCCACCCTCTACCCATCCACTCCCTCAAACATCACCCTCCCACCCACCCAGCCATCTACTCATCCACCCATCTACTCACCCTCCCATCCATCTACTCACCCACCCACCCATTCATCCATCTATTCACCCATCCACCCACCCATCCATCCTCCTATTCACCCACCCATACACCCATCCAACTATTCACCCACCCACCCATTCATCCATCTACTCACCCACCCATCTACTCGCCCATCCATCTACTCATCCATCCATCCATCCATCCATCCATCCATCCACCCATCCATCCATCCACTCACCCACTCACCCATCCATCCATCCATCTACTCACCCACCCACCCATCCATCCATCCATCTACTCACCCACCCACCCATCCATCCAACCATCTACTCATCCATCCATCCATCTACTCACCCATCCATCTACTCACCCACTCATCCATCCATCCATCCATCCACCCTCCCATCCACCCATTAGGCTGTCAGAAGACAGAGAAACTAGAGTCTAGAACATCAGGGAGGCCTCTGGGTGAGGGGCACCTGGACTGGGCCTTATAGCAATGGGAAAGATTTGAGGCTAGGATGGGAGACCAGAGATGGTGTCCACTGAGAGGCAGAGCACAGACAAAGGTGTGGGCATGGGAAACCCTGCGGTGGGAGGTGGGCAGTGAACAAAGTCAGAGAAGGCTGTCAGGCTGGGAGGTGGGGGGTGGGCAGAACCCTGTTGTCTGGGGCCTAAACCGGGAAACTCAGGCTTGGCCTCAAGGTCATTTGTAGGGAAGGGGCTAGTGACTGCGGGGCCTGTCTGGAGTCCCACAGCCATCAGCCCGAGGGTAGCCCGGGGGGCCCATACCACCCCACATCACACCATCCCCACACCTCACCAGGCACTCACCCTCCTCTGCACCTGGCCTGACACCCCATCCGGGCCTGTGCTCTGGTGAGCACCTATGTCAGGGAGGACAACTGGGTGTGAAGGAGACTGGCCTGAGTCCAGGCCAGGGCCTGCCCAATGGGGCTCAGTGCCCGTGTGGCATCCGTGCGGGCCGGCACCACACAGGCTTGAGCAATGAGGGTCCCCCTCCCTGAAGGCCTGTGAGTGATCTGGCCCGCCTGCCCACCGTCCCGCCCGCTACCTCCCACTTCTACCCCGGGCCACCCCGCTGACTCACACGCCACTTCCGTCACCACCCTGGCATGCACTGCAGGGAGGGGAGGGTATAAGTGTCCACAGAGGTGGCCCAGACTCTGCCCCTCCCGGCTTCTGAGCGTGGCAGATGGCCTGGTGCAGGGCCGTGCTCCCGCTGCTGCTCATCGCAGCTGCCAGCTTGCGTGCCGGTGAGTGGGACAGCGGTGTGGCTCGCAAGGGACATGTCTCTAGGCCTCACTTGGCCCATCTCCTTGGCGGGGGAAGGCCCTTCCGCGGCTTGGGCAGAACGCCTCCTTGGGCATCCCCTAGGCTCATCTCCCTTGCCCTAAATAAGCCTCCTGGGCCCTAGAGCCTTTGCTTGGGATAGGCTTCAAGGCCCCATTTTCCAGGCAGGAAAACCAAGGCTCAGTGGAGGAATGCAGTGCTCTAGTCTGCTGGCCAGAGCCCTGGGCCTTGAAGGGTCTCAGCGAGGCGAGCTACCTCCCCCAAGCAGGGATGGGAAGGGAGACACTCCAGGTGGGGTATGCCCAGGGGCTAGACCGGAAGGGCCTTGGCTCCAGCCTCCAAGATGGGTCTCAAGGCCAGGTGATGAGGTTTGCCCCATCCCTTGCCCAGGTGAGGCCTTCAAATGCTTCACATGTGAGCAGCCCACATCCATTTCTTTGTGCAAGAACATTTCTTACTGCAAGCCAGAGGCCACGGCCTGCATGACCACGGTGGTGCAGATGGAGTCAGGTGAGTCCAGCCCACAGTGGGCGGGGGGTCCACAGTGGTCACCTTCCCCAAATGGTCCTTGGGGCTGGAGGGGGCAGCGGCGGAGGTCCCACAGACTGGCTCTGGGGTGGGTGCGGCACAAGGGCTGCGTCAGCCTTGGGGCTCTAGGCCCCCACCCCACGGCTGCACTGCACACCCGAGCAGGGTCCTGGAGCGAGGAGCATGGACGACTTTCCAGGCCCAGCCATTAGTCTGGGGGTCACCGGCTCTCACTGGAGCAGTCAGTCAGGAAGGGCCGGACCGAGTGCCTGGAGGTTGGGGCAGCTGGGGAGGGCACTGGGCAGGGGAGGAGCAGGCTCTGACGCTTGCCCACCCCTGCAGAGTACCCCTTCAACCAGAGCCCCGTGGTGACCCGCTCCTGCACCAGCTCCTGCATAGCCACCGACCCCGACAGCATGGGGGCCACCCACCCCGTCTACTGCTGCTTCCATGACCTGTGCAACTCCGTGCAGGCCAGCAGGCTGGGTGCCAGGGCCCTGGCCCCGCTGGGAGCCACACTCCTCAGCCGCCTCCTTCCCTGAAGGGCCCGGCCCCACCAGAGATCATCTCTACGTAGCCACGTGCTTCCATGAGCTCCCTGAGCCTCAGGTTAATCACGGGGCCCGAGGGCCGAGAACCTTGACAGGGGCACTCTCTGTCTCCCACACTTACAGAGAATAAATAAATCCGAGGCAGAGGCGACCTCCTTCCTTCCTGGGTGCCAAGAGCCCACGGAGCCAGCCTTCAGGAGTGCCGGGCTGAGCCAGGCCCATTCGGGACACCTGACCCCCCTTCTCACCCAGGGCCGTTCATACTCATTTCACAGAAGGGGAAACAGAGGCTCCGGGGGAGAAATGCATCCTGGGCCGGGCTTCCTGCAAACCAGTCCCGCACCACCTCAGAGCAGGACCAGTTCCTTAGCCTAAGGGAAGTCTGGCCCCACTCCCAGTCTCCCCTCAGCCCCCGGAGGCATCGCCCCCACCCCACCCCCTGTCCCCCAGGTGGGAAGGAAGCTGGAGTCAAGGGTGGGCATGTCTGGCTCCACGGGTCCAGCACGGGGAAGCTGGGAAGGGAGCCCGTGGACGTGCAGGCAGCCTGCCCGCCCAGCCCGGGTCTCCCCGGGAGCACGTGGGGTGGGGCGCATCTGGGCCAGTGGACACCTGCACACCTCCATGGGCTTCGGTCACCTCCCCTGACAAGGGGCCTACCGTGTCCTTGGCCCTGGGGACAGCTGAAATGAGAAGAAACCGTGCGCATGGAACCGTGTGCAAGGACAGGCCAGCTCATCCCACACACCAAGGGCCAGTGCTGGGCTCTGTGCCCCCTGGGCCGGCAGCAGCACTCCCAGGCAGCAGACGGGCAGCAGTGGCCCCAGGGGGCTGAACCTCAGGCTCCTGCTTTCCCCTCACGAGGCTCCCCAGCTGGCCCTGGTCGTGACCTGGCTCTGCAGCCCTGGAGGGAGGTGGAGGGCAGGAGCCGCGTACCACTGCCCCGCTCCAGGCCCAAATGCCCACCGGTGCCCTCTGGGCTGGGCGCTTTCCAGGTTCTGCATATGGCCGGCCTTCCAGAGAACCTCTACTGGGCCCTGGATTTGGAGGCAAGGGCCAGGGCCACCACCTCAGACGTGGGGACTGAGCAGTATCACACTGCAGCTCTTGGCTTCAGCTTCCAGTGGGCAACAAGGGCATTGCCTTTGAGCTTTTCCAGGACGCAGAGGGGGTGGGCCGGTAGGACCCTCGGCAACCTCCCCATTCCTGGGGAAAACAGGTGGGGGGGCCCCATGCACCTGCGGGGCCTCCGCACAGCATCGGCACGGCCAACAGAGGGCGCCCCTGCCCATCACCACCTGAGCGCCAGCTGCCGGGCCCTCCCAGGGCCGGAGCTGCCACCTTGAAGAGCCCGAGGAGAGCGCCTGACGTCTGCAGGCCTGAGAACACCTCCCAGCCCTGCACAGCCCGTGTCCCCCTCAGGAGCTGGGGAGGCCACAGACTGGGCCTTGGGGGGGCTGGCCCTGGGGTGGCCGCAGTGCAGACCGGGGGTGCTCACACCGGCAGGGGCACCTGGGGCCTTAGGATGGAGGAGTTGGCTCGTGGGTCACAGAGAACGCAGAAGGACGGGAGGTCATCCACAGGCGGATGGGGGAGGCTGCTCGAACCCCACTGTGCCCTAGTCAGCAAGACCCTCCTCCCCTCTGTGGCTGGACCGCCTCCAAACAGAAAGAGCGAGAGAGCCTCCCCTCCCCCTGCTCCCACCTGGCTGGGGTGTGCCTCCCTTGAGTGGACAGAGAAACTGCAGTGCCCCTGGGACACAGTGACATTCAGCCCAGATGCCCCCGACCGTCCTGAACACCTCCTATAGACCCCCAGCCCTGTCCTGCCCCCCCAGCTCCTGCCCTGCTCCAGGGTGCCAACTGGCCACCACCACTCAATGCACCTGCTGGGACCCAGACCTGCTGTGTGCACACCATTTCCTGTCCCCAGTCCCTCTGGGGAATCTGTCCCTGTCTGACAGCTGCAGTGATCTCCAAGCTCCCCCATTGCCTGTATGTGCCCCCCAGGACCTGCATGAACACCTCTTAGGCGAAGAGACAGATACTCCACGAAGACACCCAAGCGCCCCTGCAGGCCGGGGGCTGGCTGCTCAGGGCAGGTGCGAGGCCCAGCGTGGCCAGCCCAGGGCGCCCGGGGCCTGCCTAGGGGGTGGGAAGAGTGAGGCTTCAGCCCACTTCCCTGGCTGCAGACCACGGGCCTGCAACGCGACCTCAGCCAGGCCACATCACTACCCCATCACTGAATGCCTGCTGCGAATCCAACTTTTCCAGCTGCCCGTTCTTTTCCAGGCCTGCAGAGCCAGGCCCTCCTGAGCAGGTGGTCAGAGCACAACGTGGCCCATGCCATCAGCCCCCTGCCTTATGTCCTGGCAGCCCCACCTCCTACCTCCTTTGAGGGGCTTGCAGAATAGCCCCTATGCTGACCCCACCCCAAGCCCATTACGGTCCACTGACCTTTGCCCCACCTGCCACCCCGTAATCCCAGTCTGAGGCCTAACCTCCCCAACTCCTCTGGAGGATCCTGGGACTGGATCCTGAGACTAAACCAGAAACGGACACCAGCCACCCACAGATTGGGCAGCAAGGCCCAGGGGCTGGGGACAAGGAGAGCAGCAGGGCCTACAAGGGGCTTGGGGCAAATCCTTTCTGGCCTTGGTCCCATGTTCTGCGAAATGGGAGCAAGTCCTGCCCTGTCTACCGGGTCGCTAAGTTCACAGGAACCTGAGAAGCCTAGACAGCCCCCCATGCGGGAACACAGAGCCATGAGTGGCCCACTGCTTCCTTGGGGGGCCAGGCCTTGACAAATGAGGACTTCCCCCAGCACACAGACGTTAAAAACTCTTTAATCTTGGGCTTTCTTTAAATAAAACAGAAACATTGCAGCTTTCCCATTGCGCTGTAAGGCAGACGTCGGCGTGGGGGGCAGGCAAGGGATCGGGGCGTTGCTGTGCTCCTAGCTCTAGTGGGAGGAGGGGCGCCCGACAGGGTGAAAGAGGCGGTTCCGGGGCTCCACGGCTCTGGCCCACACCGCAGGCTGCCGGGGGCACAGGCGGGTGGCCACCTCATCCTGGGCAGCCACATGCGGGAGCAAGCAGTGATCCCACCCCCAGGGCTTTGACCCCCGTGTCCCCAGCCAGCCAGGGAGCTAAGGCTCCCTGCTCTGCCCACCCCTGCCTTGCCGTCTGGGCCAGTTTCTGCTTCTCTCCAGGCCTCCCTAGCCGGAAGGCAAGCAATTAGGCAGGAGCAGACGACTGAGCAGGTGTCCCAGCAGCCTGGTGACCCCATCAGGGAGCCACTCAGGCAAAGCCCAGAAGACCCTTCCCCCGCCCCAGCCCAGGGAGCGAGGCAGCCCCTCAGCATTGGAAGGGGAGAGTCACCAGCAGGACACATGTTGAGGACGACCCCAGGAGGGCACACACCTGAGGTGCTGTAGGCCCAGAGACGGTGGGGTCCTACCCACAGTCATAGAGCGCAGCCCTAGGAGCACCCGGGGTGCAGACAAGCGAGGGCAAGGTGCAGAGGGCACCCAGGCAGAATCCCGCTGTCTGCTCCGCTCCCTCCTCAGCAGCAGGCCCCAGCTAGGACGGGAAGCTCACCACCACCCCAGGGGAACCCCCGCGCCCTCCGGTCAGTTGGCCTGGGCCTGCCTCTCCCCCACGCACAGCCACAGGGATCTGCCTCGACATGCTGTTCTGACCCTTCACAGCTCCTCACCAGGCCCGAGTCAGGCCGCAGCCCTGCCCCCAGGACTGCTGGCCTCACCCCTGCAGCTCCATCATACTCCAGGCTCTGGGGCTCAGGGTGGCTTTGGCTGGCCCCTCTGGTCCAAGCACTCTCCCGACTTGAGGCTGCGGGAGCGTGGCTTCATCTGCAGGCTGGGGCCCAACCCCCAGCCCCCCAGAGCCCACACGCTGAGGGCCCTGGGCCTCCCACTTTCCTCATCACCTCCACCCGAGGGCAGAGCTGGGTCAGGGCATCTGTGTGTGTGTGTGTGTCTCCCCCCCCCCCCCCCCCTCGCCCGGGCCGGCCGGTACCCAGTGTGTGGGGGAGGGGCGTCGATAACTGGCTGGTGGAGGGAGGGCCTGAGCGTGGGGAGGGGGCTGGGCTGAGCCCGCCTGGCAGCAGGCCACCGCAGCTGGGGGACAGCCCAGCCCGGCGGGCCCATTCTGCACTCTCTGCCCCCGCAGGCCCGGAAGGGAGGGCAGGGGCCCCCAGGGTGAGGCCGGCGGGCAGGGCGCGGTGCTCACTGGTCCTTGACGAGGTCACTGAGCCCGCTCTCAGCCCTGAGCAGCTGACTGCTGGCCTCGTTGTAGGCCACCCAGTGCCGCAGGTCTTCTGGTAGCTCAGGGGCCTCCACCTGCAGGGGGAGATGGTAACATTACCCCCCACACCACTACTAATGGCGATGAGCAGGGGCGCAAGGAGGGGCGCGGCGCCAGAGTGCTGCCTTCACACCTCCGGGCCTCTGCTCACGCTGTTCCCTCTTCCTCCTCTTCCAGGCACCCTCCCCGAGGCCCTCAGCGCCTGCACTGCCCCCGTGCCAGCGCTCAAGTCCCCATCCTCCTTCACCAGCCCCGTCTCCCCAACAGGGCCACACCTGAGCCCTCTGTGTGTCCCCAGAACCCAGGCAAGAGCCTCCGAGGCCAGCTGGTTGGAGAGGGGTGACAGGAGAGGGGAGGCCTAGAGGGCTTCAGGAGTCTGGAGCTGGGGAATGGAGGGGTGGAGGGGCGGG